TTGAATGCAAAATAAAGTTACGTTCACTATAGATTACATAGATTATAGCAAAAAAAACATAAGTACTTACTTTTCTCACCGGAGAAACAAAGACCACTCAAACTCTAAATGGTTGTTGACAGTACGAATTTTTCATATCTGTTCGGTAATTTTTACAAGAATCTGGCACTTCACTACCGTTTATTTTGGTAAAAGGCTATATTTACAGTACGTTCGTCACATTTTTTTTACAGTATTGTAAAATTTAAGCCATTTACAGTTTCGATCAGCAATATTTGTTTACAGTTTTCGGTAATTTTCTGTAAATTACAGAAATTCAGTATTTTTCATTGCGGAAAAATGGTAAAACAATACATTTCACAAAACTATCGGTAAAAATTATATTTTACAGGACGGATTCAGCAAAAAAAAATTACCGATACAATTTACGAAATTTGGTGTGTAATATCAATATATTTTGAAGTATGATTACCACTACAGAATGGTTAAGATATCTACACTTTAAACTTTTATATTAGAATCGAAATCTGGAAATGAAGTCCCTAATAAACAAATACCATAAACGAACTGTATCTCGGATGGGTAATTATCCCACAAATGGTTTGGATGATATCCCGAACACGTCGTTAAGCTCTCTTTTATGGTTATTTTTATTAGGGGTACCCTCCCCATGGCTAGTTTTTGCACCTTGACGTTGGTGGGAGGGCCTAATTTCATGTCATAATGGAGCGTTGGAGACGTTGTGTTTATAGTCGGCATCTCTAGCTCATGTCGTGGCAGTGTGCCGTCATGGGCGGGCGTTGTGCAGGGTGTCCATCCAACCGGGAAAAAACCGGGAATTCGGATTTGCCTGGAAAAAAATGCGTTAAACCCCCATATCGCACCGGGAAAGATCATACACACTTAGTTTTTTCTACCGGGGTCGGCTGTGGCAAAAAAAGTTTTACTGAGATCTCAGCAAACATTTCATTTGTTTGCTGAGATTCAGCTAAGGATTATCCGAGACTCAGCAATCAAATGTCACTTTTGCTGAGATCTCAGTGAAACTTATTTTGCCGAGATTTGGACAGCCGGGTCGGTAGAAAAAACTAAGTGTATATACAGGGATTACTCAAAATTTATTCCGGGTTTCTGGAGGGCTTGTCTAACTTGCTAAATTTTTGGTGAAATTTTATGATGCTGGTTAAACATATATATTTTTAGAAAATATAACGAAAGAAGAACCATTTCTAAAGCTAATCATAAGCCAAGAACTAAAATTGGCCTATAATAAACCGAGATATGGCCATTTCCCTGGAATCGGTTCTGGTGGAGGGTTCTGAATGCGGGCATCATTTAATCACTCAAAACATGCCGTGCGACAACTCTTTCTTCATGGTTTCTCGTCAATAGACTTTCGATAAACTTTAAATGCATCATTGACCACATTGGCCACTCTCGGAACATCCAGTATGCCCCCGGGGGAACCTGGAGCAGGGGACAATTGAATTTTCACACCAAAGCATGCCGTGCGACAGCTTATTCTTCATGGTTTTTCATGAATAGGCTTTCCATAAACTTCAAATGAATCATTGACCACAGCGTTGCGTTGATCCGGCAAATTTTCTGATATATATATATTCAAAATTCTCTGACGTTTTCGAATCAATCATATAATTCTTGGAATACCCCATAATTCCACGGAATTCCTTGTAAGTTGCTGAAAATTTTGAAATATTTCTGAAGTTTTCATAAATTCTCTGATGCAGGGTGGCAAGTGAATTCCTGGTTTTTTCCCGGTTTTCCTGGTTTCTTCTATAAAAATTCCAGGTTTTTTAACAAAGCTTTAAATCTATCAGTTTCGCAGATTTCCTTTAATTCTTCTACATGAGAGAAATATCTTAAGTATATATAGGTACAGGGGTTACTCAAAATAAATAACTAGGATAGGCAAATTTTTGGTCAACTTTGGAGTGTTGTAACTTCGTCAAATATGATCCTATTTTAAATCTTCCAAGAGCATTTGACTGGAAAACTAGTATTGTTCTACGGTGTAGCCACGAAATAAATCCTGGTCACCGTATATCGGAGATATTCCGGATTTCCGGAGGGCTTGTCTAACTTGCTAAATTTTTGGTGAAATTTTATATATGATGCTGGTTAAATATATATATTTTTAGTAAATACAACGAAAGAAGAACCATTTCTAAAGCGAATCATATGTCAAAAATTAAAATCGGTCTATAATCAACCGAGATATGGCTATTTCCCTGGAATCGGTTCTGGTGGAGGGTTCTGAATGCGGGCAGATCATTTAATCACTCAAAACATGCCGTGCGACAGCTCTTTCTTCATGGTAGACTTTCGATAAACTTTAAATGCATCATTGACCACATTGGCCACTCTCGGAACATCCAGTATGCCCCCGGGGGAACCTGGAGCAGGGGACAATTGCATTTTTACAACAAAACATGCCATGCGACAGCTCATTCTTCTTGTTTTTTCATGCATAGGCATTCAGGAAACTTCAAATGGATCAGTGACCACATTGGCCGCTCTCGGAATCACGGGAACCCCCGGGGGAACCTGTAGCAAGGGACAATTGCTTCATGGATTTTCATGAATATGCTATCTATAGACTTAAAGTGAATCATTGACCACATTGGCCGCTCTCGGAACCACTGGAATGGCTCGGAGATGAACCAGCGTCTGGCTGAAAATCTCCTTAATAAAGACAACCACCACCACCACCACCACTGGAATGCCCCCGAGAGAACCTGTAGTAGGGGGCAATTGCGTTTTTACTCAAAAACATGCCGTGCGACAGCTCTTTCTTCATGGATTTTCATGAATATGCTTTCTATAGACTTAAAGTTGACCAAATTGGCCGCTCTCGGAACCACTGGATACCCCCGAGGGTACCTGTAGCAGAGGACAATTGCGTGTTTACTCAAAAACATGCCGTGCGACTGCTCTTTCTTCATGGATTTTCATGAATATGCTTTCTATAGAATTGAAGTGGATCAGTGACCACATTGACCTTTCCGGAGTCACTGGAACACCCTGGGGGGAACCTGTAGTAGGCTGCAATCACATTTTTACACAAAACAATGCCATTGGGGAGCTCCCATTTCCTGTTTTTGAAATAAACAATAGTGACAGTGCGAATTAATCATTCTTATTTGAAAAGTTGCACTTTTAATCTGGGTTCCAAAGCGCTCGAGTCTAAGGAAAAAAAGTTTTCCTAATTTCCCGATATCTCGCTTAATGTGAGTCATAGAGTTTCGATGTCTTCGACAACATTTCTCAACACTTCAAATTACACAACTTTGCTGGGAAAACTTTTCGGCTAGGATGCTCCGTTCAAAAGATAGACTCGAGCGCCACTTATGTGGCGTAAAAATGAACTAATATGAAACTTTCAAAAGAGCAACTTTGTAGAACATTGTATCGCTGTAGAAAGCAAACCAACGGCGCTAGAGGTTTTGCCCACACGAATAGCTTCGCTGTGTGGGGTAGTATAAGCGCCCTTGTAAGCAACCGGTAAGAATATTATGTTTTCTTCAGGCTTTATGAAGGGTCAACAATGAACAGTTTTAGCATAAAAAGATTTAAAAGAAACATTTTTTTTCCGAAGAATAAATTAAATCGAAGATGTACTGCCTATTTCAGGCTATATTTGTTTCAGTCGTGAGAATGACTCATTTTTTACCAAAGCAGCTGCTTCCAAACGTGATTTCATATGATACAGTCATATTTATAAAAAGGAATAATGCAAAATTGAAGAATTTAAGTAGAAAATGTATTTAATATCAGTGGTGCTCATATTGTCCCGAATTGATTTAAGTAATATTTTGTTGAGAAAATCTTTAATGTCTAATGAAAACTAACATCGTTTCATATAAGAAAACAATTATCATTTATATACCTAGCTGCTGAAGGAATATTAATTTTTTATTGTAAGAAACTACTGATAGAACTTATTTTCTGATTCAGAAATATTATAACATTTTTGACAAGCTAGTCTAACATTTCAAGCGTAACTATTGAAATCGACGTATCTGCTTCTGTACACAATCACTTCAATAAACGATGTGTCTTAACTGCTAACTTACCCACGCAAAGACAAACACCATCATCAGGTAGGGGAATCTTTTCCCTACTAGCTGGTGTTGTTAGTTTCTGTGAGTGAGCTAGCAGTTGCCACAAATCGTCGATTGAAGGGATTGTTTACCAAATCAGATACGTCGATTTGAATAGTTACGCTTGATTTATCGAATATTCGCAGTAGAGAAAAGTAATTTTATAGACTAAAATTAAATGAATAGTTCAAGTAGGCTTCAAGAAATAAGAATGCAACAGATTGTTTATAAAATATGTTCAACAAGTTGATTTTTAAGCGGATTGGCCACATTGGTGAAATTACCCCCCTTGCTGCTCCTATTCGAAGATGCGATGATTTTATTCCGAGCTCATATAATAACTCAGAACAATAATATTTCATTCACAAAAACGTAAAATAATCATCCATGTGCCATCAATTTTAGCTATAAACAAAAAATTGTCTTGCAGCTGCAGAGTTTCACTAACTCTGAGAATGCATAGGTAACGGTAACATACTTTTGGTTCGCTCTTAGCTTGAGCATGCGTTGGAGCGTGAAACTAGCAGAGTGTGCGATTATTTTTAGCGAGTTTTTGTATGAAGAGATAGGTACCAACATGGTTTTTGGTATTCCGCAACGAGCGGAACGCAAGCTTACTTTTTGCTTCTTTTTTATGTTTGCTGCAGATTACAAATTATTTCATGTCAATTGTTGGGTGATAACAACAGATGATAGTGATGGCTTGTTATCAGCATTGTTACGTCTCCGAGCCCGCTTCAAGTACATACCTACCTACTTATACATGTTATGATAATTTAGAACCAGTTAATGTTGTTAGGTTAGGATGATACTCGATCGTTTGAATTCAATCAGTTCCCCAACAAGCTTATTAAATTATTGTTTTCTTTTTTCTCGTAGGAACTACAAGACCTGGGGAGAGATCCACCTGCACAATGCAGTGCCGGACCAGTTGGAGATGATTGTAAGTATCGATATATCAATAAACAAAGTGATTCTAGCGAGTACATAGTAGTGCTGTGACGAAGTCGTTATTATCGATAATATCGATATCGGTCATTGAAAAATCGATATCGGATTTTGAGATTATCGATATCGGGTCCTATATCTGATAATAATTCAAAAAGTACTCTGTTGCTTTCCGGCGTTTATTTTGCATTTTTGAAACCAGAAGCATCAATAGTATGGAGAAAAAAATTTCGATTAACTCTTTCCGGATCGAGATTCACCCAAAATTCGCTGCTCCCAGTACCGAAAATGTCACACGTCATTGATTCGATTCCACTCCTCATATACAAGTCAATTTCCTTGCGAATGGAATCTGGCATTCGCATTGTTACCCTTCGGTTGTTGTAACTTTGAACCATGCCTTCGTGGTAACTCCATACCCCATCCATTATCGGTAGGGATCTTCCTCGGTGGCTCCTCGCCAACAAAATCTTCTTCATCAGATCCTTCAACCTGAGGTAGGACCATGTGGATCATTATTTCCGTAGCAGCTTTGCGTTCATCAACACTCTTGAAATGAACATCTTTAAATCGAGGATCCCGAAACAGGCGAGGCTCGGTAGCTTTCAAATCGGGATTGGTTGGAGGTTTCTTCCAACCGATGATACTGGCTTCATAGCAGTGATGCAATTGTTCAGGCAGTTTATGACAGGCAGCACCCGACTTACTGTAGCATAATCTTGACCACTCAAATCATTAGTTACTTCATTAAGGGGCTGTAGTAGCTTGACGACTACCTCCAGATTTCTTTTCCCCTCCAATTTAACCATTTCTGAGGAGCGATCTTGGTCCGACATAATGATCTGTATGAAGTTGTACAGGTCTAGAAACCGTTTAACCATGGTAAACTCCGAGTTCCATGTGGTAGGCACAAATGAAGTAATTTTCATAGGTGTTCTTTTAGCATCATCTTCAATCTGTAGCATGTGCAGATTATCTGTTGCGATTGTTGATCTCCGAAAAAAAGGCAACTATCTTCTTTACTTTATCTTTAGCTATCAGTTCTGATAGAGCGTTTGTAGTTTCAATGGATTTTTTTCGCAACGAGATTTATTGCATGGGCTACAACACAGCCAATATGTTTATCTTCAGAGAATGTATCCGCAACAGATTTCAACATATTAGACGCATGGGCTGTAACAATCATGCCCACATGTTCTTTGGCAATTGCCCAATGCTTAAGAACTTCCTTAAAGCAAGTTGAAATATATGCACTATTGTGTCGTTCATTCTTGATATAAACGCCTAAGTCAATTGTTTGGAGATTTGTAGAAATTTGAGGACTCAAAAAGTGACAAGCTACTCCCAAATTGCTCCTAGTAGTATGGCTATCGGTTCAGATATCGGCAGTAATGGTCAAGTCTTTATCTTGAATTTTTGTTTTGTCACACTCGACCACTTTCGAATACTTGTCGTCAACTAGCTTAGTCATGAGCTTGCGGTTGGGAATTTTGTATTTAGGTGCCAGAATATTCAATAAACTAACAAAGCCCTCGTCTTCCACAATCGAGAACGGTTTGATAATCTTTCACAATCATGAATGCGATCGCTTCGTTTATTTCTCTGGTTTTCGGTCCATCATCTCTAGAATGTTAGAATTGATTTCCCATTATTAATAAAATAACACGAGCTTAATAATCGTGCTATAATATAGGTATTATATTATTATTACTGATAACTGATTCTGCGTCATATATATATATAAGCAACATACTACCATTTCGAGCACGAAAAAGCGATCATAGACTTATTAGACAATAATATTTGTAAGACGAGCTTACAGGACCAAGTCTCCCCTGGGTGGTGCCAAAAGATGAGCGCAATAGAATCATCAAGTTGCCATAAGGCACGGAATGAGACTATTGCATGGCTGGGTAGTCAAAGTCTTTCATTCGTTAGTCATTTCAGGTGGATTAGAACAGGTTTAGGTGGGACTTGGCCAGATTTGGATTTTTCAGATGTAATCCTGGATAGGACCCTGTCATTGAACGTCGCGTGAAAGTGGAACTTAATGAAGGCCTAAGTACTTTTTCGTAGTTTTTAGTTTTCGGATTTGAAAGATCGTCGGTTACAGTGGCCTGCTTACTGAGCAGAAAAACGCTGTCCCAGGTCCTTACATATCAAAGAGATTTATGGTAAAATCGCTTGTGTATCGTGTATTTTGCGAAACTCGTTGTTGTCGTTGGTTCCGGGTTTGAATGGATACACAAATTTGAGCAACGGTATTATGTGATATGAGGGGCTCGGTGGCCTTAGAGCAACCGTTTTTGCTTACTGAGCAGAACATCATGAGTCTAATCTCAGGCCCATCCACATTCAAGATTCGTCAATCGTTTTATTTGTTAATATGACTACATGGTAATAACAGCAACTCGGTGATTAAAAAGGTGCTCGTCTGCCTAGTGGCAAACGTTTTTGCTTACTGAGCAGAAGACCGTGGGTTTAGTCCCAAGCTCCTTCGCGTTATATGATCGTTAGGACATCAATTCAGCTTATCGATTACCAAAACGAACCCTGCTGCAAACCCAACCCTCTTATCCAAAATCCCAGTGATTCCTCGTGGAAGTGCAGAGGTGTTCTCGGCTTCCATCAAAGCGAGTGTCATGTCAACACAATCCTTCCCATTTCTTTATTTACCTGTGTTCGGGCGCGGCCGGCGCTGGTATTGCCTAATTTAAGATCACCAGTTTTTACACATTGAGGATGATTGCTAGTCCCAAGCATCGTCTATTGGTTCTCTGTGTAATTACAGCTGATCTGGCAATAACAGAGTAGCAACCGTGGGCGGTCAATCAAGCTCAAGCTCAAGCTCAATAATATTTGTAAGACGAGCTTCAACGTGGAGTCGTGTTCTTCCTCTGTAGTACCATGAGCAAGCAAATCACCCTGAACAACGGCGTATAAGCGGCGCCGGTGGTGCAGTGGTAAGCGTGATTACCTCTCACCCCAGCAGGCTTGTGTTCAATCCCAGTCGGCGCCGCCGGGATGTTCTGAGGCATAACATCTCTGATCACGCCTTCCTTCGGAAGGGTACAGCCGTTGGTCCCCGGCTCATGAGTTGATGGGTCGATAGGTGTGGGAGCTGCCTCCCTGGCGTTGGTAGCATTGGTGCTCAGAACGGAAAACAAGATCGACGGAAAACAAATCAAGGCAACAAAAAACCTTCTTCTGAGGATGTAATCTTTGCTGTCAAATTCGTTCGAAGCATTGACCTTTGAGCGGCAGATGACGCGATTGTACCTGTCTCATACCGGTGTACGAGAAAATGGAAAAGTTGCCAGTCTTCTTGATATGTTGTCTTCGCTATAATCCCATATGAGACCATTATATAGAGATATTTAGAAGATGGCAGTTGAAGTTACGAAGTGCAATTCCCATGTAAATATTTAAAAAAAATCATATTTTTTTCAAGTTAAAATCAGTTGCAATGAAGCCTGCATAATGTGTTATATCAGCGAAAAATATGGTGATTCAAAAAGTAGAACTGTTACTTGACTTCTGGACGATTTAATTTCACGATAAGACTGATATGCGATTACTTTGCTTGATGGGACAAACTGACTTGATGTTGTTTTCACATTTTCCATGATCAAAGTTCGTAGTTTTATCACGTGATATGAAAGTAGATGCCAATTGATAATGGATAGCGTTATTATCTTAACATTGACGAATATCTATGTGGGACTGATATGCGATTATATGCAGTATACTACCCATAATCGCATATCAGTCCCATAAGGATAGGAAATCAAGCAAAGATGGGAATGATATGCGATTATGGGTAGTATAGGAGCGTTTACCCTAGTACCCCAACGACGAGACTCATTGCAATACGGTCATTGCAATGGTATGGTTACAATTACAACACAAAGCACCGTGCTTTAATCCATAATTTCAGTTCACACCAGTCATCGAGAGAAGCTCGTCAGTGAATACAATCTAGAACGCGAATCTTTTGTTTCATCTTTTGACCTATTTTCCATAACAGTGCATCACTGTTGATTTGCATTTTGCTTCTCACTTTCTTATTACTAACGAATGAAAATCGAAGTAATAACGTGCAAGCGCGGAGCCACACTTGCGTAAAGCATGAATCAGAACACAACATTTATCTAATCGTTCATTTTTCTCTTCCTCTTTCAGTATTTCACTGGCAGGCAACAATTATGGGACCGGTAAGTTGACTTTGGGTTTGCACCTTCCACGAGCATTTCCTACAGAAGGGGGTGACATGATGACTCGCAAGTAATAGCCGCCAACACTTCCGATTTGGTTTCATTCGCTTTCTCTTGGTGTTAAAATAAGTCCCCCATATCACTTCGCACACACAATCGATCCGCGTTCGAACTTGACTTTAAGATGTCTATCTAATCTACTCGTTTGTTGCAGCCGGAATTAGCATAGGACGATGTGTGGAGGGGGGGATGATAATCAACAATAGCCCACGTAGTATTGCGGTGAGCATTTCACATAAGTTTAATTCAATTTCCGATTTGGCAAATGGCCATGCGGCTTAAAGGCTTGGGGCAACGGCTGACGACAGAATCGCGCTGCGCTGATGACAACGACCTACACCACACTCTGTAGATAGCATAGCAGCAGCAGCTGGGGAAAGAGGAACGGTTGTTTTTAACTGCATAGCTGTTGTTGGTATTCGGTATCATTGACATCTAAATTCAAAAGCCGGTTACAGTTTGTTTGCTTCTTATTCGTTCTTACCTCAGTGTGTCCACCTTTCGAGAACCCTCACTTTTCATTTCTAGCCCTGAAAGTATATCAGTTTCAAAACTCAGGTAAACGGGTTATTCGCATGTTTGACTGTTTTCTTCTCTTGAACGATTACGTCAGTTTTGAAAACTTATTATGCATTTCATTGATGTCGCTGGTGATTCTTATTTGCTTTGCTACCTCTGAGACATTTACTTTCTTGTAAAGTAAATTCTGAAGATGAATAAAACTTTCAAGTTATGTTCTCGAAGTTTATTATTATAGAAATGTATTTGAAATTAAATCACTAAGGGGCTATCCACACATCTAGCGGACACTAGTTTTTGTGAGATTCATCGAATTCCCTTAACATTCCACATCGTGTTATATGGACAGCGGCTAAAAAGGATTTTCCCGGAGCAGGCAAAAAACATGTGCCATAATCAATAGTTACATACATCATTACCGTTTAGAACATGAATAATTAAATATCACGCATATGTATTATGGTTATCCTACTCGCTTGCTTGTATTATCTTCGATTGTTGCACTTGATGGGGCTACCCCATTTGGCATAAGTGCATTTGGTATATCAGTCCAATGTCATAAATGCTCATAATCACTTCTTGCTCATTTTCATCTTTAATGCAAATTATAAAAATAATAATTCTAATTTTTTTTAAAATTATTCCAATGAAAATCCTAGGGGAAATGACGGCTTCGGCATGACAGACTATTTTCGGCAACACAAATTGAAACTCTATTTTCACTGGATTTTCTTACGAAAACACTTCGCTGAATGCATGCAAACGATTCTTTATGCTTTCAGCTTCAATTTGACTATATTTTTACCACTTAGAAAAAGCAATCTAGCAAGGTTTTCTTGAAATGCAACACCCGCACTACAAATTGTAGCTGATTTCGAGTTGCCGATAATAGAACAGCAGATTTACACGCAGTTCAAATGGAATGGTTGCCGACAATACTCGCTCTCACTAGAGAAGATTGGAGCTTTGTAAAAGCGTTTCAAAACAGTTTTTGACAATTCTTTCGACTGAAATTGTTAGAGCAGCTGGCAGCAAAAGATTGTAAACAAACCAATACTGCATATGTGTGCGTTCCTTAGAGAAAAAAGCTATAGAAAGATGGTCGCTGCTTAGGTTGCCGAGAATACGTAAATTCCCCTAAACAATTCCTAGCTACGTTATTTTTTTTTGCGATCTTATCAATTGTCGATGTCTAATGCCCGACATTTTGAATATTTTCTCTGCCATAATCTCACATATCTTGAAAATTCACCCATGTCTGGGATATTCCCTGGACATTGGCATAATCTTGAGGATTGCTTAACTGCAATCAGGTCTCCCAGGGCTTGTCTGTATCTTTACATTTGGAAAGATGCACACTAGTGATGCCAGTTGTGATGTAGCGGATCAAAAGTTTGTTAGAATTTAACAACTAGGGGAAACAGCCCTATTGTGTTGCGGTACGTTAGCAGCGTTAGAAGGCTATTGTTGTGTATAAAGGTCCCCAATAGGCTTCTAACGTTTGTTACGTTTAGTTTTAGGTAGTATCAATTTATGTGAGCGTGCATAAGCAAAATATGCCACATGGGCCGCATCGCTTGAAAAGCAAAGAAAAGCGAAAATTATCTTGCCCATCATTCCGCATCGACGTTGCTGACAACGCTTCCGCACGCACACTCACACGTACCAGCACAGTAAACATCAGCCACAGCATAAAGGGAGCCAGAAGAAAAGTAGCACGCAAAACGGCGTGGTCCATCATCGCGATTGTCCGTGAATGAAAGTTGGCAATGTGTGAAAACTGTGGTGTCGGGCGCGATCAACTGTGCGCGATCGAAGGAAGAACGCACCCGGATGGTGGAACGATCAAACGTCGTTGAAGCTTGCCGACGACAGGTTAACCGTGCGCTCAGGCCAAGGCAACAACGCCAAAATACGATCTCCCGGACAGACGCTACCGGTGAAGAACCACTGCGTGTGGCCAAAAAGGCCTTCGAAGAGAAGTAAGCCGCCACATGAAAACTAAGGGAGAATGCGCCCTGCTAACGTACCGCAACAATATGGCTGTTTCCTCTATCCAAAATTAAATAATTGTTTAGTTTTGAATTATGATTTTACCTATGAATTGAAGACGATGAAGTTTTGAAGAAGACGACGATATTAACTATCTGCACGCTAGATCAACGATTCTGTGACACTACCCCGAATGTCACTACCCCGAACGCCGTTACCCCGAAAGCTACTACCCCGAATGTCCTACTACCCCGAATGGCCATTACCCCGAATACCCTACTACCCCGAATGACCATAACCCCGAAATTAAGACAAACGGAAGAACAGCATGCGATTAAAAGGATAAGGATTGTGCTACATTTCCCCGAATGCCATATCCACCGAAAAAAAAAAGTTAGGAATTTTTCAACCTTGGCAATTTTCTTACTATATATTGAGCATAGTGAGCAGATTGCAACCCACCTTAAATTTCAAACCATGCAAATGGAAGATTTAATATGAGATTAACCCAACTACCAATTAATTTGCTTCGAGTAGCTAGAAACCCATTCCCAAAGCACAGGATGCTCACTATTGCCCCTCTTTTCCGTATATTAATGTATTGAGTCGTTTAAAGCATTTTCATTTTTATATATAGAATAATAATCCAAAACCAGTATGCTTGTTTTCAGTTCATTTATTATTCATCATTATTTGATTTGTTTCTTGGAACACCGTTGAGAAATTCTTCCTTTTTTAGACATGAGCAGTTCTTTGGAGTTTTGAGGTTTTCATACTTTTAAACACTGGAATGTAATTGTAGAAGGAGAAAAAGTAATTTAATAAACAGTAATTGGAATTTTTTCCTTCTTTTGATCATGAGCTATTCTTTCAAACTTAATTGGACCAGAACATGATTAAAAATAATAATAAGTAATTTTAGAAAATAAATGGATATTTTTTCTTCTTTTCATGAACTATGGTTCAATTTAATACGAAAGAACAGCTCATGAAGAAATTAAGGGAAAAGAAATCTTTATTGGATATTTCTCCTTCTTTTGAATATGAGCAGTTCTTTCAGAAGGAAAATGGGAATATTCTCATCTTAGAATATTCGATTATGAAGGAATATTATTATATTTTCAATCCATTTGTTGAAGTGTCACTAAAGAGGGAAACTTCAATGCAGAACATGTGAATCTCATACACCCAGATCGCTGCGTGAAGGATTATAATGCCTTTGGATAAAAAATCTGCTTGTTTTTACTGCTAATAATACCAGTTACACCGATTCTATAACATTCCCCAGAATGTACCATTCCCCAGAAAAGATGATGAAATTAGTAATTTATCACTTTTGTCATTTTATATTGTTATATATTCAAAGAAGGGAATATTTCCTTCTTTATCGTATATCCAAAGAATTAATTATTTCCTTTTGTTATATTTTCAAAGAAGGGAATATTCCCTTCTTTATCATATATTTAACGAATTAATGATGTTCTCTTTTATACATATGCAAAGAAGGAAATATTCCCTTCTTTATCGTATATCCAAAGAATTAATTATTTCCTTTTCTTATATTTTCAAACAAGGGAAAACCCTTTGATCCATTAAGGTCTCCTAAAACCCCTTGACCCATTAAGAAGTTTTTCTCTTCTTTTTATATATGCGAAGGAAGATTCCAGGAGTGACTATAATAAACAAAAATACAGCTTACAGCTTTTGGAAATGGATTCGGGGTAATGGTCATTCGGGGTAATGGGCATTCGGGGTTGTGTACTATTCGGGGTAACGGCGTTCTGGGTAGTGTACCGTTCGGGGTAACGGCGTTCGGGGTAGTGACATTCGGGGTAGTGACATTCGGGGTAGTGTCACAGAACCAGATCAACATATAGCCATGATAGAGGGATAGAACATCATTTTTTTTTTCATAAAAACAAAACCATCAACAGATTATCAGGAAAGCCCTTAAGTATGGAAACCCTGAGAAGAAGAAAATTGGAAGACCATGCTTGACATGGAAAACCAGCGCAAGGCAACGATGTAGAAGGAAGCGGTCAATCGCCGGATTATTGACAAGAGGTGGCTAATAACTGAAGCGAGCTTAAAACAGTCACGACTAGATTGTTCATAGTCTAGTCATTAAAAGCACGGTATTACCAAGCCGGAGGAGGCGGGTCGAGGGAATCTTTCTGGTTGGAAATTTTCTCGACTTCCCTGGGCATAGAGTATCATTATTGTGCTTGCCACACAATATACAAATTTACGCATCGGTATTGGCATCGAAATCTCTCTATTAATAACTGTGGAAGTGCATTAAGAACACTAAGTTGAGAAAACGCAATAAGCTAATGTGCACTTCGCAAAAGCTTGAAATGCGAATAAGAAGAAGAATAAGAAGCGTTAATGGGTTATGTTGAACTTGAATTTCTGTGTACGGGATCTTG